AAATCAATATGTCTTTAAAAACCTCTTATCCAACTTCTATAGTCAAATCTTGCCTTTTTACAACATGAAGGTATTTTCGTAATTTTACCCAATAAGAGTATTCTCATAATTTCTCATCTGAGTATCTTTAGTATTTAACCTTTTTTGATATAAAATATAAGTTACAAATCCAGGGTTAATTCCTTTATCACTAATCATAAAACTTGTAATTTAATTCTAACAATCTCTAAATCTCTTATAATAGTCATCTGAACCATAATCAATTACTAAACCTTTTTACCGTATTCAGATCGAGTGTAGAAATTAATCAACTCCACAAAAGTGACCAACACTATCTTATTCATACATTTACCAATATCAACTTGTTCCATAATGCATAAAGAGGTTGTAAAGTATTACCTCGATTTCCATTCCATACTGATCGACCATAAAAACTCCATTCGAATGCCCTCGATCTTTAATTTAACTTCCAATAATTGCTCAAATACATAACAATAAACATTCCATAAAAAAATAAGGCTTAATTCTGAAAAATGAATCGAATCGGGTGATTAATCAGTGAAAACCAACTTACTGGGTTCAAATTTCGTGAAACAAACTCCAAAAACGGATCCAGGACGTCAAAAAACATTAGAATAGGTATACCCGGTCAAAGTCAAAGGTCGTTCAACGCCGGTAAAAGTTCTGGTCAACAGTGGTCAACGTCGGTCAAAGGTCAACGCATGTCAATAGTCAACAGTCGACTGTTTTACACAAATATCACCCTAACAGAAATTAATTACAAAATTAACCACCTTCTACAAATATTTAAAAAACTAACACCCGAATTTTACACAAATATCACCCTAATATAAATTAATTACAAAATTAACACCCTACGCGCAGTGTCGGTTCTTATGGCGCGTGAACAGTGATACGGTGTCGGAAAATTCCTAAAAATTATTTTAAGGCATTTTGAGACACTTACCAAGCTCGGTTCACAATTTTGAACTGCAGAGAGATCGATTCCAAAACATCAAAAACTTTAACTTTCTCACCCCTCCACGTGCCGGCGACGACGGAGAAACAGAGGACACCGGTGGACTCGGAACGATGCAAGGAAAACAATGGTACGAGAGGTGTCGAAAATAGATGGCCGGATCGTCGTGAATCGATGAAAAACCAACGGAAATCGAGTTAAAACCGACGATACTTCCAACTGAAATTAACGATGAACGACAACGATTCACGATGAAAGATTTGAGGGGTTTTGTTCTTCGGTCGACAATGAACACGATAGTGGTTTCGATTCGTCGATCGGAGGTCGGACGGCGAGTAGATCAGAGTTGAAAGGAGGGTTGAAGGGGGAGGGAAACTGGAAAATTTCTCCAGAAAACATATGGGAATGGGGGTTTATATTTTCTCCTAAAGAAAAATGGTCAAATCATGAGTTTAACCACTGAATTTCCTGCACTTCTTAAAACGGTCTGCCAACTTTGAAATTTTACAATTTAATCCATCGTTTCTTTCAAAATACCAATTAAATCCAATACTTTATAATTTCTAAAATTTAGCCCCTAAATTGGGGTATTGCATTGTCTCTCAGCAGAGGGACATCCACTGTAGTGATCTCATGTTTAGAGATCTACCATAGTGGGATCCAACCAAGGTTCTTAACATCTTCGCCGAAGAAAGTATTGTAGAAATAATTCTACAGACACCAATAGAACCATGTACGACTGATAATATAGTATGGGGCAACCATTTCTCTTATAATTATTTGGTGAGACCGCCTATTGGTGGCTACAGAAGTCTACCCATGACATTGACCCACCTTATCCATTGTGGAAAACAATTGCAAAACTAAAAGTTCTTCTAAAGGTACACATTTTTATTTGACGGTTAGCACATGCGACATTAACTTTGGGATATAGAGTGCGTCATGCAGGTTTGGGTGAGGGCGTCTGCCCTTTGTGTACATCAGATGTGGAGACAACATTACACATGTTCAAATATTGTTCGTATGCACGAGAAGTCCTATGACTGACCGATATTCCAAGTATAGTCTTGAATTCACCAGTTTGATCTGTTTTAGTCTGGTTAGAAAATGCATATGCTACGCTTAGTTTGGTTCCTTTGGCAGAGCTTGTTGTCTTGCTTTGGAACATTTGGAATGGCCGTAATTCTTTGGTGCACAAGGGTAGAATGCAAGCCACTTGGCTAATTGTAGCTAATACTAAGGCATTGCATCAATAGTTTAATAGGGCCCATCAAGGACAACCTTCTCAACATGATGTTGCTGACGTGGTTGCTCAATGATTTCCTCCCCAAGGACAAATGATTAAGTTGAATGCAGATGGTGCCTATAACTTATTAATTCAGTTGGCAATAATTGGGGTTATTGCGCTCAATGCACAAGGAATGGTCTTTAGTGGTTTGGCTACGACTTTGGGTGGAATCCCTAAACCCATCTTTATAGAATTAACTTGTTTAGTTACTGCTATTAACCTTGCTTTATAGTAGGGATGGCGTGATATCTATATCGAAATAGATTCATCTGCTATTTTCAAATGCTATAATAATCCGGAGGATGATTTTTCCACCATTGGTGTAACCATGGTTGATATTTGTACTAAATGTAACACTTCTAATAGTTGTTCTATTTCATATATATCTAGAGAAGCGAATAAGGTTGTACATTAGCAAAGAAAACATTGGATTGTAATGTCTTTTATTCTTTTACGACTGATGCCCCTAGGTTTATTCTGAATGCTGTAATGGTTGATTTAAATTATGGTTAATAGAGTGGTACTTTTTCCCCCTTTAAGGACCCCAACCCTCGGTCTGGTAGTAAGGGTTTTTAACGAGTCTCGTTTTCTTTCAAAATAAATAAATAGAAGGGTAAAATATACAAATGGTCACTAATTTTTAAGTAAGTTTTCATTTTCATCACTGAAGTATCAAAGTTATAAAACAATCATTAACACTATTATTTTATTACAAAATGGTCACTCGATCGTTATATTACAAAATGGTCACTCAATCGTTAACCCCATAAAATATTTAAAGGAAATCTGACGAGACAGTTAGGGATCTGATTTGGCATCCTTTGACCCCTCTAAAAAAACCAACACAACTTTTGTAAATATTTCCTATTTCTGTCGTCGACATTGTTTGATTTTTGAAGTAGTTTTCTCATTTAACAAACTGAGTTTCTTCGATGTTGGATTTGCTTGCCTGCTTGCTTTGAGTCTTTCTCGAGTGAATAGGTTGAGAATAAATCCTCACTTACCATGGTCTCTCTTCCCCAAGTCAACTATATTCCAAGCTTGGGATTTTAATATCATTGTGAAAACAAAAAGGTTGCAAAAATTAGCAAATAACTAATATGAGCCTCGACATAGGATCTTTTTCGGCTGGAAACCTTCAGCAGTGATCACCAACGAAGGAAATGGCTCAAAATGAGCTTTCTGTTCCTTTTGAGCAACCAAGGCACTGGTTCGTTTATATATGTTAACTAAAATATCAATATATCATGTCATGTGTTAACCCGAGACCTTTCCCCACCGGGAAGCTCGATGTTAAGCACCACCAAATCCTTGGTTTCAACCTCAGTACTTCCTCCGGTGGTGCCCCATCAAGAACCGAAACCAAATAAGAGCAAAACCCCTTTATAATCTCAGAATCGTTGTCAGCCCAGAATCTGATATTCCACTAGGAGTCCATCTGGGCATCGAGCCCAACTCAAGTTGTATAACCCATTACCCGGTTCGAGTCAGTCCGGAATGAATTCGAGGGAGAAAGGAGTTAAGGAAGCGTAGTGAAGGAGAAGCTTTACTAGGTTGAGGGGATCTAAAATGGAGTGAAATTCTTTGATGAGGGCTGAGAATTAACACGGTGGGAGATGAGCAAAAGAGCATGAAAACAAACTGTGATTTGAAGGAAGAGAACCGAGCATTTGCCCTCTACTGCAAATCCACTACAAATCAGTCGAGGGGCTTAACTCTCCAGTAATACTGATATTTTCAACTGCATTTCTAGCATAGAGATACCAAGATCTAAAATAAACAAACCCAGAAAAAGTGAGAAAAAAAAACAAGAAGAAAGATTGAGTGAAGAACGAAAGGTGATAAGAGAGCTAGAGAAGTAGAAAAGATTTTTTTTAAAGAATTTATATATTTTTTCTTTTTAAGAATTTATATATTTTTTCTTTTAAAGGGGGTGCCAAATCAGCTCCTTAACTGTCGCGGTAGATTTCCGTCAAACATTTGACGGGGTTAACGGTTCAGTGACCATTTTGAAAGAAAAGAATAACGTTAATGAATATTATGTAACTTTTGAAACTTCAGTAGCGAAAACGAAAGGATACTCAAAATTTAGTAACCACATGTGCAGTTTACCCTAAATAGAATGAATTTGCTGGGAAAATACCAAATTAGCTAGGGAGAGCGAAAGAAAAGAAAAGAAAAGACAAATACGATGGGTAGGGTGAGCGTTCGATCGAGTCGATTTAAGTTAAAAATTTTCATATTATTCGAGTTGACGAGTCTTATTTTATAACTCAGGTTTTAATTAAATTTTTTTCGAGTCGAGTTGATTTTACTAGTTTTTATTTAAATTTAATTATAAATATTTATAATTTTATAATATTATTTGATTTCAATTTAAGGGACTTTTTATAATTATATATATAATACAAATATATTTCTACATTTTTTTTTACATATGATATACATATATCATACAAAGTCTAATGACTCGACTCAAACTTAAAAATAAAATCATTAATTATTAAAATTTTCGAATTATTCGAATTGTATTTTATAATTCAATTTAAACTTAATTTTTTTTTTGAATTAATTCAAATTTATTAATTACAACTCAAAATAAATTTGAGTTGACTTTTTAAAAATAAAATTAAGTAAAAAAGTTAGATTTTTCGAATCGTCCAGCAAACACAGGTATTGATTGTTGCAGGTTCTACGTTACCTCCTCACCGACACCATCACCTTCTTCTTCTTCTTCCATTTCCTCTCTCAGATTTATATACTCTTGCCTCACCCGATTTGATTTTAGCCACCCTCAATTAAAGGCGTTCAATTATGGATGAATTTGGCGTTTTAACCGAGCGTTATGGTTTAAAACCCCAAGGAAAATCTGTTCCGATGTCACAAGCCAAACTATCCACCGCCACCGCAACCACTAGCCAGACTTTTGGGTTCAGTTCAGGTTTCACAGGGAACTCCACGACCTTTTCTTCGAAATCTTCGTTCAGTTCGACTGCCAACGACGGCTCTTTCCTCGATGATCACGACTTTTTCCCCAACCAAAACTCCCAAAATTCTTTTGTTTTTGACCTTGGCGGTTTTGGAAACCTCACATCGAACCCATCGAATACGGGTAATAACAGTGGTAATGGGTCTTCGTTTGATTTAGCTTCAGTGCTGTTGAATTCGGGTCCAAAATCTTCCTCCACGAATTCATACGTCGTTGACGATTTATTTGGAGAAATGCCTGGCTCACAAACTGCAAGTTACGATGATGGTTTTGGGCTTTTTGCCTCATCCACAAAGCAAAAGGGTTCTTTTGGTGATTTGTTGGGCGATTTTAGTGATGTGGCGTCGAAATTGAAGAGTTCTAGCAGGAATGGTTCGTGGGATTCCGGGAAAAATGAGGCTGCTGTTGATGATTTGATACCCGGGTTTGGTGAAAGCACTTCTCCGGTTAACAGGTACTCATCATAAAAAAGGGGATACTGTTTGCTGCTAGGTTACTGTTGCTTTGAGTGTTAAAGGTTAAGTTGAATTGTTGGATGTTTGACTGAGTTTTATTTGTGTGTTTGATAAATTGTAGTTGAATAATAATGACATTTCAGGGTTAATAAATCGTTCAAGTTCAAGTTCTTTCCGTAGTTGTGAGTGTTACGTTTTCTGATATAAACTGTATGCTTTGGGGGATTAGTTTTGCATTAAGTAGCTCTGAAATCTTTGAGAGTGTGAGAGATCATAAAACATAGACAATTTCATGGCTGTCTGCAGATTTTCTTTATGATGCAAATAAATATTGGTGACGTTTTTGGAAATATTTATTTCATTTTGCTCTAATTTATCTCTCTCTATAAAATATGGTAACGATGTTTTGTTCTGAAACGATTTGTATGCATGAAGGTTACTCTGCACTGTTAAAGTGTCAAGCAACATGGTCACTGTTAAAGTTATGAAGTTTCCCTTCCTCTAGGGGATTTTGGATTGAGTCTGCATCCCGTGCTTCAGATTATATGGACCTACTATTGAACCAAATTTCCAAGTTCTAGTATTTTCTTGTTAAGTATTGCTCCTCTCATATTTGACTTAGATCAGGTTAAGTGAATTGAATGGACGACTAGAACAATCATTTGAGGATTAATAATGCATATAAACCATTTATTTGGTTGGAGCCTGTCTTTAACAAGTCCATTACTTATGTAATTAGTGTTGACGCCGTTTAAATTTCCAAATATTGAAACTGAACCCAGCTTACCTACTGCTTTGATGAATATAAAGAAGCTTAAATTATTGATACAAACAGGGTAAAGGTCTTGGAATCGCTTTATGATAAAAAATGCAAATGTAAAAATGCTCCCATAACATTGACTTCTATATTTTGGCTTCTGAAACATAAGTTTGTGTCCATTTGCAATGCTTTACATGATATTGCTGCATCCATAGAAAATATTGCAATAGTAAATAAGAGAGGTGGTGCTCATAGTTAGAAGGAAAATATTTTGAAGCTGTTATTTTCTTACATTATTATATATTTGCCTTCAGCAAGGACACCCACATTGGATGTACATATTTACAGCTGTATGTTACATAGTTTATTTTTGTATGATTATGTTATGCCCATGCAAAAGTTTGAATCTTTGTATTAAATTTCACTTTTCTATGAAGGACTAACACTAAGGCAGCCAAATCAACCTTCAAATCAACAGAGGAACCTTTTGTAGTATTAGAGTCGGCTTCAGGCTGTGAATATGATTCCTTCTCAGCCCCCGCAGAACCACTGCAAGAATCCAACCTGTTCAATCTGTCTGAAGGAACAGAACTTCATGGTTCTTCAAATGCCTCACCATCATTGAAGACTCCTCCAAAACCAGCACAAGTTTTGAAGGAAGATAAAGGTTCTTCTACATCCATTGGAAAAAATAGAAGTCAATTTCCATTATTCTTTTGCCTTTGCATCATTAGTTTTTTTTAACAATGAGATGATTCATGATGCAGTTAAGAGTTCAGGTGCATCTCCAATAGATGAACTTGAGGACTTTGCAATGGGACGAATGCGTAATAAGGCTAGTAGATCTAAAGAAGCTGATGATGCTACAAAGAAGACCCAACAAAATACAGGAGATGATCTTGAAGCCTTTTTTGGTGTAAGCTCCAGATCCAGTAGTGTTCCAAAGCAAAGGGATAAAACTTGGGTGAGCACCACAGATATGAAAAACTACCATCACTTTTCTAGCAACTGCAGAACTGTGTGTTGATATTGTTTCCTTTCTTGCGTGCTGGTCAGGATCCCATATTTGGTGCAAATGTTCCGAACATACAACAAAAGACATCTGGAGGAGATTCATCCACTGCAAAGAAGCCTTCTTCTGCTACCATGTCAAATGGAATTGATGACATTTCTTTTATTTTTGGAGGTATACAATTCATGAAATATTGAAATGGTCTTTGTCCAGTACGGAAACTTATCTTTCCATCATATCTCTTTGATATTAATGTTTTTCATTATCTTTATTCCCTAAAGCTGCCCCAATGTTTGGAGAGTTTGAGGAACTTGTCGGTGAAAGTGAAGAAAGAAGAAGAACTAGGTTGGGACGTCATCAGAGGACCCAAGATCGAGTGGTGTGCATCGTTTTCTTAACATAACTTTAATCTTATTTCTTATTCTTTGTTTGACAGGCTTAAATAAATTAGAAGTATGAGATGGAATTTGTTGATGAGAAAAAAGTATATATAGGAGTCAATGTTGATATAAATGTCTTTTCTTTTCTCAGTTATGCAACATAGATACACTCAAATGAAGAATGTGCAAACTGTCGGCACCAATAGGTTGCCAACATCAAAATTTGAAGGAAACCCTAGCTTCTTAATCTTCCATGGACTGTTGATTAAAGCAGTTATAGCAATCATAAAATGAGATATAAGTAGTGTCCTGCATGTGGATTTCCTTGATGTTTGTAACTATGCTTAAGTCCTATCATAAACTGTTTTGATCATCATTCAGCTTGATACTCGAATTGCAACTGACCTGACCATTTTGGGATTGTGGGCGAGACTAACCCATTTCATCATGATTTCAAACATGCATTATTGTAGGAACTATAGAGAGATGATTTGTTACCATTCCTATATAGATATGATTTGTTACCATTCCTATAGAGATATGATTTTGTAAATAGATTTCTACAATCCCTTATTTTAAGGGATCATATCCTAGGATTATTATTTTTCCTTTCTTAGAGTTTCTTACTTTAGAGAGAGATTTTGTATATAAATATGTAATCTGTCATATTGAAAAGAATAAGAAATTACAGAGAATTACTCTGATTTCTACATGGTATCAGCTTAGGTTACGGTTTATTTCCAACCTAGATGATGTCCACAACTTCTTCTCCTGCTCCGGAGATCACTTCAAATCCAGAAAATTTTTCTGGTTCTGCTGCTCAATCAGAAGGTAATCTGGTCATGAAAGAACCAGAAGGTAAACCTCATGCTACAGTTTTTTTTCCTCCCAGTCGTCCCCTAATTGGATCCTCGATTCTGGTGCTACGGATCATATGACTGGTAATAAGGATTTGTTTTGCAATTTTTTTCCAAACTTTGGTAAAGCTGTCAAAACGGCTGATGGTTCTTTGTGCAAAATAGAAGGACATGACACTGTTATTCTCAATGACCAGATTGTACTTAAAAATGTCCTCTTCGTACCAAATCTGGCTTGCAATCTCGTTTCCGTTAGTAAACTTTCCACCGACTTGCACTGCTCTGCAATTTTTAATGATATTGATTGTACTTTGCAAGCACTGAACTCGAAGAAGATGATTGGTAATGCCAGCTTGCAGAATGGTCTCTACATTCTTCTTGCCTCTACTAAAACCGAAATCTCGAAATCTTTCACAGCTTTAGAAAAAGTTGATAATGTTATGTTATGGCACTATCGTTTAGGTCATCCTAGTTTTCACTATCTTGTAAAAGTTTTTCCTGCTCTATTCATTCATAAAAGGCCAAATTCTTTGGGGTCCTTCTCGGGTGAAGAATGTTGATAATTGTAAGTGGTTTATCACTTTCATTGATGATCACAGTAGGATAACTTTGACTTATTTGCTAAAAGATAAATCTGAAACTGTAGGTGTTTTTACCCAATTTTATAACATGGTTCTCACTCAATTTGGGTCTAAAATTCAGCTCTTTAAATCTGATAATGGCAGTGAATTTTTTGCCAAGTCTTTGGGTGCGTTTTTCAGGGAAAAGGGCATAGTTCTAATTAGTTCTTGTGTTGACACCCCACAACAAAACGATATTGCCGAAAGAAAAAATAGACACCTCCTTGAAGTTACTCGTTTTCTTCTATTTACCACTAATATTCCAAAATATTTGTGGGGGGAAGTCTTATTAACTGCCACATATTTAATCAATCGAATGCCTAGTAAGGTTTTACAATTTCAAACACCTCAATCTATATTTTTGCAATACTTTCCCCATTTTAAACCTATCTCCTCCATTATTCCACTTAAATATTTGGTTGTACTGTTTTAATCCAAAACATTGCTCCTAATAAGTCCAAGTTAGATCCTAAATCATTAAAGTGTGTACTGGTTGAGTATTCTTCACTTAAGAACATTTTATGAGCAGTATCCCTATTTCACTCAGGCTGAAATTCAGGGGGAGACATGGAAGGATTTTCAGCCACATCAGGTATCTCCTCCTACTCTTCATTCTCAACCTTCAGAATTGCCACCAATTTTGTCCTTACCTACAGATTTGTCACCTGTAACTACTCCCATTGATCCACCGGTAGTACCTATCACTACTTCACCCATACCCACTTTAAATACCCTTTCTGAAAACACACCTACTCTCATTCAAAATATTCCACAAACAACACCAATCAAACAGCTCCGTTTCTATACAAGGAAAAGAAAACATATTCCTGAGGCTGTTTTGCAATCTGATGCTTGCCGAGAATTGGATTTGGGTCCAGCTGCCGAAATAGAAGAAGAAATCAGTAAGTTCACTTCTCCTACTCTAGATGACTTCCCTATTGCTATTAGAAAAAGAGTTAGACAGTGCACCAAGCATCCTATCGAAAAATTTGCTGGTTATAATTCATTGATGCCGTCTTTTCAAGCATTTACAGCAAACTTGGATAAAGAACAAGTTCCTACAAGCATAGCTGAAGCTCTAAAGGATTCAAAATAGAGAAGGGCTGTTGAAGAGGAAATTTGTGCACTGGAGAAAAATGCTACTTGGACTGTTACGGACCTTCCTCAAGGAAAAAAGGCTGTTGGTTGTAAATGGATCTTTATTGTAAAGTATAACTCAAATGATAGCATCCAACGATACAAAGTGAGACTAGTGGCCAGAAGCTTTACACAAACATATGGGATAGATTTCACAGAAACTTTTGCACCTGTGGCGAAGCTGAATACTGTTCGAGTACTCCTAAGTTTGGTTGTAAATTGCGATTGGAAATTACACCAACTTGATGTAAAAAAAAATTTTCTTAATGGCAAGCTAGAAGAAGAAGTCTATATGAAGTTGCCACCTGGCTTAAAGTCTGTTGAAGGAAGTAACAAGGTGTGCAAGCTCAACAAGTCTCTATACGGGTTAAAACAATCACCCAGAGCTTGGTTCGAGAGGTTCACTAAAGTCATTCTAAAAAACGGCTACAAGCAATCCCTCGCCGATCACACTCTTTTCATCAAGGTAACTTCTACAAATAAGCAAGCTATCCTTATTGTGTACGTGGACGACATAATTCTTACCGGAGATGATGAAGAAGAGATTTGCAATTTGAAGAAGTTGTTAAATAAGGAATTCGAAACCAAGGACTTGGGAAAGCTAAGGTATTTCCTAGGAATGGAGGTGGCAAGGTCAAAAGGACTTGTGATCAACCAAAGAAAATATGTACTGGATTTACTCAAAGAAACTAATTTTCTTGATTGTAAGCCGATTGATACACCAATGGAGACAAGCTTGAAATTTAACAAAGAAGATGGGTCCTTGGTAGACAAAGAGAAATTTCAAAGATTAGTTGGGAAACTAATTTATTTATCCTTGACAAGGCCAGATATAACATTTCTTGTAAATGTGATAAGTCAACACATGACTAATCCTACTAAAGAGCATATGGCAGCAGTAAATAGAATTCTCAAGTACTTGAAGAAAACTCCAGGACACGGTTTAATGTTTAAGAAGACACAAGACAGAACTGTTAAGATCTTTACAGATTCTAGTTGTGCCGGAGACCTTACTGAAAGGAGATCCACTAGAGGCTACTGCACATTTGTTTGGGGAAACCTTACAACTTGGAGAAGTAAGAAACAATCTGTCGTTTCAAGTAGTGTTGAAGCTGAATTTAGAGCACTAGCATTGGGAATATGCGAAGGAATTTGACTACTTAAACTACTGAAAGAACTTGTCACTAATCAAGAGGATCACTTTGAAGTTTTGTGTGATAATCAATCTGCTATTCAAATTGCCAAGAACCCAGTTCAACATGATTGGACAAAGCATGTTGAGATTGATAGGCATTTTATTGCTGATCAAGTTAACAAAAAGACAACCACACTTTCATACATTCCTTCAGAAGAACAAGTTGCAAACATTCTTACTAAGGCTTTGCCAAAGCCTGTTTTCAATAAATTCCTATTCAAGCTGGGATTATACAATATATATTCTCCAGCTTGAGGGGGAGTGTAGGAATTAAAGAGATGATTTGTTACCATTCCTATAGAGATATGATTTGTTACCATTCCTATAGAGATATGATTTTGTAAATAGATTTCTACAATTCCTTATTTTAAGGGATCATATCCTAGGATTATTATTTTTCCTTTCTTAGAGTTTCCTACTTTAGAGAGAGATTTTTTATATAAATATGTAATCTGTCATATTGAAAAGAATAAGAAATTACAGAGAATTACTCAGATTTCTACAATTATGTCCAGGCAAAATTGTCAGGAAAACACTTCTATTGGCACCTGTTAGAATCAGCTATGTAGATGTCTTGTTTGTTTAGGAGTTTTTATAATAAGAAATGATAAGTTTTAATAGTCTTTGTAATCTCTATCTCTAGATAGAATTTTATCTTTAGCAGAAAATTCTGATTAGAAGCCAACAACTTAGTTTTTTTTAAACTAATGTAATCTCCTAAATTCAATAATCAGATTTTTCTTTCGTTACCTCTTCTACTCACACCTTTCTTTATATCCTTCTCGCTTCTCGTTTGAAAAAAAGAATATTATACATATACTTTTTTGCAACGCATAGTTCAACAGTTGGATTGTTTCTGTTCTAGGCAAGAGCAGTTGCTGATATGAACCAGCGTGATCGTCAATCACAGAATGAGCAAGAAGAGAGGCATGTAAGTGGTTCACTGATGTATTAACCATGGTCTTGTGTATTACATACAGATGGTGGTTCACTGATATGACCAACTCTTTGTTCATAAATTATGAATTTTGTCTACTTAGTTATTTTACTTGGTCTTAATTTCTGTAGAGGATCGCTGAAGCTACGGATTTTGAGATAAAACACTGGGCTGCAGGGAAAGAAGGTAATATGCGCGCACTTCTGTCATCGTTACAACAGGTGTGTGCTTTTTTTTTTATAATGTTCTCTCATTCATTCTCTTTGTTTAAAAAGAATTTGGAATCATTATTGAATGTCTAGAATTTGTAACTTATTGGCTTTCATCACTAACTATTTACTTAAAACAAACAGGTACTTTGGTCTGAGTGTGGATGGGAGCCAGTTTCGCTGACTGATTTAATCACCTCTGGATCTGTTAAAAAGGTTTATAGAAAGGCCACACTGTGTGTCCATCCTGATAAGGTTCAGCAGAAAGGTGCCACTATTGAACAGAAATATATTGCTGAAAAGGTTTTCGACATTCTCAAGGTACTTTCAATACTATGGGAAGGTAGTATATATTTAAACATGAGATCTTTCCATAGTGATCACATCGCATCATCAGCCCTCGATGAAGTAATGGGTAGGCACTCATCTTTGGTGTGATGAGTGCAGGACTCTATTTTACCCCGACTCCTTAGTTTCCAAAGTATCATTGTCAGAAGTCCGACACCTAACACCCTATACGAACCATATTTAAACATGGGTATGGTTGTGTTATCTCTCGTAATCCATTTTATATGCTTGGAAACAGGAAGCTTGGAACAAGTTCAACAAGGAAGAACTTTCTTAAAATTTCAAAGATAGACCATTTGAAGAAGCAAGCCATTTGTATTTGGCACTCATACAAGTTCGTTTCAGAACAGACCCAAAAGTGTTATGGTTGTCATTTGTTTATACGACACGGTTCATAGAGTGCCTGCATCGGTTATGGAACTTGAATTGGCAGAAGCTTTGAGAGTTGAGAGGCTTTTGGTTAGCAGTAAAACTTTAGATGTATGTCTAGATATTAATGCGTCTTCAGAAAGCAAGTTGATTAGACGATGTTTACTTGAGCATTTATGCTAATACAATTTTCTTTGGTGGTTTTAGTTTTATAGCTTGATTGGTTCTACTTCCACTTGTTTTTTCCTCTTTTCTTCTGGGAAACAAGCAATTTCCGAACAGTCGGCAATGCACTCACATTTGGAATAGGTTCATATGAGAGGCAAAACAAATATGGAATATTAACCCAGGCACATGAACACTAAAATTGAGGTGATTAATGAGTTGAGCAGCTCGTGAGTGACTCAAATTTTACTCGATCAAAATTTGGTTAAAATTTAATTAGAATTGATTGTACACGAATTCGAGTTCGACTGGAGATATTAATGAGTTGAATCGAGTAAAGTTTAACTCAACTCGATAGGTTTGTGATAATTTGTTATACTTTTTTTTTATATTTTTTAGTAGTTATGTTAAAAATAATATTCTATCAAAAAATTTACTAATAGAAAATGATAAATTACTAATTTATATAGCATTAATAGATTTTACCTATAGTTAAAAAAATAAGACAAATTTTGGTGAATATATCGATTTTAATGAGCAATGAGTCAAGTCGAAAAAATGTTTTTTAACCGAACACAAGTCAAACAAAGTTTTAACGAACTTAATGAATAATGATTCGAATCACATAACAAAACTTTTTAACGAACACGAGACGAATACTATCCAACTCGCGATCGACTCATCTGATAACCATCCCTCACTAAAAAAATAGCAGCAGGAAAATTTCTAAAAAAAAATCAATCTAACGCTGAATTATGAATTATTATGTCTTCCATTACTAGAGTTATTTGTAGGTAAGATCGGTCTGAGTTGGATTTGATTTTTTTCTTAAAAGTAAATTATTTATTTGGTCACTCGGCTTTGTTTGTGTTTTATTTTGGTCCCTCAATTTTAAAAATAATTTAATTTCATCGTTAAGCTTTTTCGCTTGCTTTGGTCACTCGACCATTTGGTCTTTAACGTCGTTAATTTGTGTAATTTTGTTTTTCTAAAAAAAGCTTTAGAACTTTTCATTTAAATTTATATTTTCATACTTCCTTTAATTTACTAGTGTATGAGTATTTTCTTTTATATATAAATGGTAAAGAGGTTGAAAAGGTGGAGAAAAATATATATTAATCCTACGATATCTAGATAATGAAGATTATAGATCAAATCAAGATAAAATAAAAATTTTGATTTAAATTTTTTTGATTTTAAGGGTATTTCAAATTAATAAAAAGGAAGAGACAAGAAAGGAACATTTTGGTATCAGCTAAGTCACATGAAGAAGAATCATGGTCATGGGAAGAGGTTAAAATTTCAGGGAAATTTTAAAATAAAAGGCCCTAAAATGCAGAAGAATTATGAGTTGATCTGCAGCAGCTCCATGATATTCATATGAATAAAAGTTCATACCATTTTATGCTCAAAGTTCTTCATTTTGCATTGACTGATGGGGAAAAGTTACTAGTTGAAACTGTAAAGCATGATCCCATTTTGTTGAACAGTACATCGTAGTTTAACAACAATAATTCTGCCTTCATTTGAACATCTTTTAAACACCAGAGATTAGTTTCATTGCCTCTTAAACTATCCATGAGCAGTGTGACACGAGTTCGATTCGACCGAGCTAGTACGAGGTCGAGAACAGCTTATACGACTTGAGCTCAACCATAATCTCTGCGATAGAACCTGCAGCTGCAGCTATGGTGATTATAAGGCAAGCAGCGCTGAGGATTTGGAGGCAAATCCATCTTTTGCTCCATTTTGGTATCTTCTTTTGAGAAATGTACATCTCTACTGGGAAGTAAACTGTGAGTGGCCAGATCCTACAGCCCCAAGCAGTCCAACAATGACATTAAAGAAGGGAAGCATCATGGTGATCAAAGTTGTTAACATCACAAAAACTGTCCTCCACACCAACCGGAAGAGGTTGAGGTTGTAAGGCCGAAATCCGGGAACCGGGATCTTAATATCTTTGGTAACGAATTCATTATCGGGGAACCTTTGCACTGCCGACTTCTCGATGAAGGCGAAAAGTGGTTGGCGGTAAACTTGGTATGCACCAACAAGGTGAATTACAATGGCAGCATTAGCAATGTCAATGAGCCAGAATGGATTATAGAATCCGAAACCGGTTAGAAGGTTCCCGGGGGACGAGTCTCCGAAAGCAGCATACCACATGCAACCACGCAACATGTAGAAGAGGGTTGTCATTGCAACACTTGACAGAGTTGCCTTCTTCATCGTTTTTGATTCCGCCGGTGGAGCCTTAAGCGTGTCCTGTCGAAAGTACCATATTGTTAAGCTCATGCTTCATGGCCTTATCAAGTACTAAACAAGTTATTAGTGTTCAACAACTTGTTACCTGAATTTCAATGAGTATAAGGGAATAAGAATAGGCAAAAGCTATGTTTCCAAGTGCCTGGAAGCTCAACCATATCTTTTGTGTTTGAGTGACAGTTCCAACAGTTATCCCAGTCAAGCTTCCCCTAATATTCCCATTTGCTGGTAAATTAACCAAAATAAAACACCTTAAAACCAGAAAAATCATACCAGAATACCAGGTTGCATAAAGGAAGCTTTGAATAATACCTGCAACTTGAGCAATTCCGAGTCCGAGTCCGATTGTCGAGTAAGTGAAGGATATGACAGCAGCAACAATGGAAAGCCACCAAAATTGATCAAAGTCGGGAATTTGAGAGAAAATGATTTCAACAATGCCAAAAGCAATCATATAAGGGTTGCTATTCATTTTGCAAAGATTTTTGCCACCACTGGCATGGAAGCATGATAGCCCTGTTATATATATCCAAAACCTCAACCTGTTAGTAGCCCAAACAACTACAAAAACACACACACACACACACACACAAACTAGAGAAGAAATCAAACATCTTTAGATCCTTATGTTAAGAAGAAACTCTCATCATGCTAATTGATAATGCAATTGTGTACCCAATGGCAACTCCAAAAAGGTTCAAGTACTGAACCCACCCACATATTTTGACCTTAAACCCACCTAAAAAGTACATTGAAAAAAAGGGTTAGAAGTAGAGGAAGAACTAAGTATCACATTTGTTAATGCAATTAAAAGTTCATTTTTAGTGTACCATGATTTGATCTGACAGCTTCCATGTAAGTGTAGTTTCTCTTGCCGTTGACAGGGTCGTCACCGGAGCGGTAACAAGTGGCGAGAAGAGTAGAGGTGTAGTAAGTTACAAAAGAGAACAAGAACATGACTGCTGGACCAGCAATCCATCCGAGCTGAGCCGTGGCCCATGCAAGGGACAGGATACCAGAACCAATCACAGCTGTTATAATATGAGCACCGGCGGTCCATACAGTTCCTGCCATAGGAAAAAAAAAACATTGACATAAACAGACAGCAAAAGGATGTTGTTTCAAAACTTGCCGGAAGTGGTGAAGTTACCAGTTCGCTTGAGTCGGCCGTCGTCATCGAAGCATTTGGAGCCACCTTGTGGAAGCACATCAATGGAGAGGGCGAAGCCTGGTGGTTTTTCCCAGAACCGTTCTCTCCCATCTTTGTTGAATCAACAATAAGCTTTGATCACTGTTGTGTTATAAAACCTTACTCTCAAAAGTTTGTCTACACAATACAATCTAGCTACTGAAACTACTGATGCCCAAAGTGATGGGAAAACCAGTAGATGGATTGAGAGCAAGGAAGAGTGTTGCAAGAATTGAATTTCAAGTGAGGAAATGAAGAATGTGAGTGGAGCATATATAAGTGCTGTGCTGTGCACGTGCTCCAAATCACATACACAACCGCGTTTTATGTCAAACACCACTATTCCCCCGCCACAGCTTGGCCACATACCACTCGTCATGAGGATGGATACTAATCGTATATGTTCAAAAATTTTCTTAATTATTGATAATGTGCGATTGTTTGAATTTAGAAGGTTGGGATATCTAGAGAGAATAACAATCCCTTTTACCACTGAAATCGTTGTATGGATTCTTATATCCAAATACAGAAAGGAATGTATAAAGACTTATTTACAAAGTTAAACACTTCTTATTTTCATATTTCAACCGTGAGACAAATCTGCAGTTCCTAGCTTCCATTTACTATTATGAACAGTGCGTGTTAGAATAATGTTGAATTGGAGGAGCACAATTACATGGGATTGTCTGCTTCTTCTTCCATTAGTAGTTCTATTTTTACATCTAATTCCGACGAAGGCAAGAACGATGAACAGTGACAGCACAGGTGAAGAAGTTGACAACTGCCCGTTAGAAAAAAGATTTTAGAATTTTTTGATGAAAGAATATTTTAATGTATCGCCTCAATTTTTGAAAAGATAATATGTATGGAAACTTGTTTAACCATTTCATACTATGCTGAAACTAATTCCCATTATTTCAATTCAAAAAAAAAAATTCCAATTATTTGAAAAAGGGTAAATTCGTGTTTAGTACATAAACTATCAGTTTTATTCATTTTAGTACCTAAATTTTCAATTTTTTTAAAACCATACATAATATTTAGTTTTTGTTTCATTTTAGTACTCAGCTATTAAAAACTTAATGAATTTAGTGCCTAAACTACAAGTTTTGGTCTATTTTAGTACCTATTTTTTTTTTTCAAAACTTAAATTTAAGTTTTTAACGAGTACTAAAATGAAACAAAAACTAAACGTTGAGTGTGATTTTGAAAAAAATGAAAACTTAGATACTAAAATAGATCAAAATTAATAGTTTAGATGCTAAACATGTTTTACCGTTAAAAAAGAGTTTGTAGAATGAACAAATATATATCTTTAAAGGACTATCTCTGATTAGAATAAAAAACTATATCCTCCATCCATTTTGAAGGGGAATAAGGTTCTTTTACATGATTCAAGCATTGAACATAAAAAATAATTAACTAATGACGGTCAAATGCTTCTTTTATGGTAATTCTAAA